GCAGGGCAGGGGGCTTGACAGAGGGTTGTGAGGGGTCGCTTGCGGTGTGGCGGCGGGAGGGATCCTCTTAGCTCCGGAGTAAGCGGAAGAGGGACAGGGGCCAGTGGTCGTGGGCGCGTGTGCGGGGCGCTTGGGAAGTTGACGGGGGTCGGGGGGGCTCCCCACGACGTGCAAGTGGCGCATGCGCTGGGCATCGGGCTCGGGGAACTGGTTTAGAGACGCAGCCCGGAGGGTCTTTGGGGCCACGGGTTCCAGAGACAGTGGGAACTGAATGGTGCACATGGGGGCATAGTGTCATCTCTTATTCACTAAATATTGAGTACTCTGTACCAGGCAGTGTTCTAGAAGCAGGGGCTACAACCCGAATAAGTCAGAAAAGGCCCCTTTCTTGGGGGGAGACAGACAGTAGACAAGTAACAAGTAATAACGGTGAAGCAATGCTTTCAGCCTGGTGATACGTTGTCCCAAGTTAAGTACAAGAGAGTAGTCTGCTTCTTTAGCTAGGGTGGTTAGGAATCGTCTTTATGGGGAAGTGACATTTGAGAGAGTAGGCAGCCACATAAAGAAAGATCCGAGCAGGGAAATCATCAAGTGAAAAGGCCTCGAAGAAGGAAGGAGCTTGGTGTTTGTAATTGGAAGGGACAGGTGAGGCTGGAGACATGATGGGGAACCAGGTCCTGTAGAGCCTCTTAAATCTCGGTGTGGGGGGTAGCTTTCATTCTTGGCTCCATAGGGCGCATGGGAGGTTTTGAGCATCAGAGCAACATGACCCTTTCCTGTGTTTTAAAAAACCTCGCTGCTGATCAAAGATGGGATTGGAGCAGAAGCAGGAGTGGAAGGAGGGAGGCCAGTTAGGAGACAATGAGGGGGCGGTAGGTGGCCCCACCCGCAGCGCAGGTGGGGAGAATTCATCCAGTCGAGGTTGTTCTTGAGCTTTGAGCCAGCACGACTGAGAGAGTAGGGAGGAGGGGAGCCCAGGATGACTGGGGTTTGCGGTTTGAGCAACAAGCTGGAGGGAGAAGGCTGAGGGAGGGCAGGTTTGGAGGTGCCACCCTGAAGGCAGAGCTTAGGTGCAGTGAGTGGGCAGGAGGATGTCAGTATCTCGGGTTCATAGCCACACCGATTCCAGGAACCTCTCATTGCCTTTCCTCTGCCTCCTTCCTGCACTTCAACCCTTAGAGAGGTTCCTTCCTGACTCCGGAGGCCTTTGGCATGCCCTTCCCTCCTGCAATACTCTCCCCCTCTTCAGTCCTTCAACCAACTGCTCTTGGGGCAGGGCCCTTGCTGGGCACTGGGGAGGGGATGAGAATTCAGTTTGGTCGGGGGAAGGACAGGCGATCTCAAGCCAGAGTCCCCTGAGTTGCAAGGAGGCAGTGCCAGTCTTTGGGAGCCCAGAGAAGAAGCTGAGGGCTCAGGGCAGACTCGTAGAATCAATGACACTGGAGAGGAGTCTAACCCTGCACACCTTGAAGTGGCCTGTGTTCCAGGCACTGTGCTGGGTGATCCTGGGGACCCCGACTCTGACCCCTGTTTTTGAGGAGCTCCCAGCCTGAAGCTGACAGGGCTCGGACAGTAACGATAGTGCCCCAAGGCACTGTGGGAGCCCTGCGGGGCTGCTGATCAGCCTAGAGGAGCTGAACCAGAGCTGAGTCTCTGAGGATGCAGAGGAGTTTGGTGGCCAAGAAAAAGGAGGATTTCATCTAGCAAACACCTTTCAAGAGCAGGCCTGTGCTAGGCGACACTGGGGATCCAGAGAAGCGTCAGCCCTGCCCTGACCTCCAGTGGTCCCTGTCTGGTGAGAGAGTCAGACACAAGTCCACATGGTCCCAGCCCATGACAAGGGCAACGGGAGTCAGGGAGGCCCAGAGGAGGCACAAAGCCAAAGCAGGAGAAGAGAGTAGTTTTCTAGGGGCCAAGAGTGACTAGGTACAGGTGTAATTATTTAATCAATTCCTCAGCAGGTGTGTGAGGGCCAGGCTAAAGGGGTGGGTGAGCAGAGGAGTATATCCTCAGTCTGTCTCCCCTACTGGTCAGAGGGCAGTTCACCCAGTATCTCTCCCAGCATGCCTGGAGCCCCACCATCTCAAATACTGGTTAACAGTGGGGCTCTGGAGACAGCCTGCCTGGGTCTGAACCCTGGCTCTGCCCTTCTGAGCTAGCTGTGCCACCTCAGGCAGGTGGCTGCACCTCTCTGGGCCTCGGTTCCAGTCTAAGTGTTGGAGGGTAATAGCCACACCTCCCTCAGAAGTTGTGACAATTCTGTGAGTCCTTTCATTCATTCTTCAGAAAATGTTTATCACGCACGTCCGCAGTCTCAGGCTGTCCCCTGATCACATGAGATAAAGCAGTAAACAATAGTCAAAACCTGTGCTCTCACAGCATTCCCATTCTCCTAACGCGGGACAGACAGTAGGCTAAATAAGCAGGGATTCTCAGGCTTGAGCAGCCTTCGAATCCCTGGAGGGCCCAATTCCACACAGATCGCTGCCCCCACCGCTGCCACCGCAGGCTCTGATTCAGTACTTCTGGGGTGGGACCTGACAATTAGCACTCTGACGAGTTCCCACCAGAGGCCCAAGCCGCAGGGCCGGGGCACCACACTTTGAGAACTCTAAGAACTGACAGAGTGCACTGGGCAGCGACAAGGGCCAGCAAGAAAAAGAAAGCAAGGGAAGGGGTTAGATAGAGAGTATGAGGATGGGGCAGCGGGGCTGAAGTTTTAAATGGGCCTCA